GATGAAGTCTTGTTCTGTCTCCCAGGCTGGAGTACAATGGCATGATCTGGGCTCACTGCCGCCTCCGCCTCCTGGGTTCAAGTGATTCTGCCCTCAGCCTCCCAAGGAGCTGGGATTGCAGGTGCCCACCACCATGCCCGGATAATTTTTGTATTTTTAGTAGAGACAGGGTTTCACCATCTTGGCCAGGCTGGTCTCAAACTCCTGACCTCAAGTGATCTGCCTGGCTCAGCTTTCCAAAGTGCTAGGATTACAGGTATGAGCCACTGCACCCAGCCCATAGAGTAAGATTTTTTAATTATTATTTTTTTTGAGACAGAGTCTCGTTGTGTCACCCAGGCTAGAGTGCAGTGCTGTTATTTTGGCTCACTGCAACGTCCTCCTCCCAGGCTCAAGTGATTTTCATGCCTCAGCCTCCCGAGTATCTGGGATTATACGCATGTGCCACCACACCCAGCTCATTTTTGTATTTTTAGTAAAGACAGCGTTTCACCATGTTGGCCAGGCTGATCTCAAACTCCTGGCCTCAAGTGATCTGCCCACCTCAGCCTCCCTAAGTGCTGGGATTACAGGCATGAGCCACTGCAACCGGCTGAATTTTAATGAAGTCCATTATATCAATTTTTCTCTTTTTATGGATCCTGCTTTTGTCAGGTCTTAAAACCCTTTGCCTACCCCCAGCTCCTGAATATTTTCTCCTATTTGTTTTCCTAGAAGTTTTATAGTTTTACAGTTAAACATATGATCTATTTTGAGTAATTTTTTTATATAAGGTGTGAAGTTCATATTTTTGGCTATGGATGACCAATTACTTCTGCACTATTTGTTAAAAAGACTATTCTTCCTAAACTGAGTTGTTTTTGCATGTTTGTGCAAAATCATTTGGCTACACTTGTATGGGTCTATTTCTGGGTTGTTTATCTGTTCTGTAGATCTGTGATCCTATCCGTTCATCTGTACCACACCGTCTTGATTATTGTTGCTACACAGTCAACCTTAAAATTGAATAGAGTGATTGCTCCCACTTAATTCTTTGTTTTCAAGATTTTCACTGTATTTTCTTTTTGAGAGAAATGAAATTGTATATAAAACTGGCCATTGGTTTAAGTCAACGTTCTTTCAAATTTTTGGCAAATGAAAGATTTTGTTATTTTTATCTTATGTTATTTATTAGTGAATAATAAATGATTCTGGCTGGATGCAGTGGCTCATGTTTGTAATGCCAACACTTTAGGAGGCCAAGGTGGGAGGATCATGTGAGCCCAGGTGTTGGAGACTAGCCTGGATGACATAGTGAAACCCCTGTCTCTACAAAAATTAAGTATATAAAGGCCAGGTGTGGTGGCTTAAGCCTATAATCCCAGCAGTGTCAGAGGCCAAGGTGGGTAGATGGCTTGAGCCCAGGAGTTCCAGACCAGCCTAGGCAATATGGAGAAGCCCCATCTCTACAAAAAATACAAAAATCAGCCAAGCATGGTGGCACACGCCTGTATTTCCAGCTACTTGGGAGGCTGAGGTGGGAGGATCACTTGAGACCACTAGGTCAAGGCTGCAGTGAGCCCTGATTTTGCCACTGCACTCCAGCCTGGATGACAGAGCGAGACAGTGTCATTTGTTCGTTCGTTCATTCATAATCAATCACATCAAAAGTGTAATGTCTGATTAAATATTATGAAATAATGTATCTTAATAATTATCCAGCCCAACTACCAATTTTGGTTTTAGGGCTCATATTTTCTGTATACCTCTCCTTGTTAGTATTGATTTTAAGTAAGTTGCCTAATTAAAAGAACTTTAAATGGCAAGTTGAATATATTAATAGCACGCTCATTTTGTCTTTTTTAGATGGTGTTATCTGAAAAGGTTAGTCAGCTGATGGAATGGACTAACAAAAGACCTGTGATAAGAATGAATGGAGACAAGTTCCGTCGCCTTGTGAAAGCCCCACCAAGAAATTACTCTGTTATTGTCATGTTCACTGCTCTCCAACTTCATAGACAGTGTGTCGTTTGCAAGTATGAACTTTCAACTACACTTTAAATAACTCATAAAATGTTAACCATTTCTCAATCCCAGAAGAGCCAAATTAGTGCAGTGGGTACTTAAATAATATGTATACCTTACTTAGGATGTCTGTGGTAGCAATACTACTGCTCTTTTATAGTCAATTCGTGGTTATCCATATTAGTGGGGGAAGCATGAATAAAGTATTGTGGTAGCCATCATAAAATTAACTTAAAAATCAAACAGTCATCTTATAAATTAGTATCAACTTGGCCAGGCATGGTGGCTCATGCCTGTAATCCCAGCACTTTGGGAGGTCAAGGCAGGTGGATCATTTAAGGTCAGGAGTCTGAGACCAGTCCGGCCAAAATGGTGAGACCCCGTCTCTACTAAAAAATAAAATACAAAAATTAGCTAGGCATGGGTTGCACACCTGCAGTCCCATATATTTGGGAGGCTGAGGCAGGATAATCGCTTGAACCTGGGAGGCAGAGGTTGCAGTAAGCTGAGATCATGCCACTGCACTCCAGCCTGGGCAACGGAGCAAGGCTCTGTCTCAAAAAAAAAAAAAAAAATTGATATCAACTTATATAAATATATGCCAGTAGCACTGATGTAGTATTTTATTATTTATAAGTGCTTTCAACTTCATGCTCTTGTATTGTCAAAATCCCAGAAGGTAGGAAAAGCAAATATCCTACCATTTTTAGAAGAAACAGGCTCCAGAATTTTAACTGGTCTACCCAATGCTTGAGATGTTTACTAGTGCAATGATGGTGGCTTCATCCAAGTTTGGAATATAAGAAAACTGATAATTTAAAGAAAAATAAAAAAAACAAAGATGCAGTTGGGTGTGGTAGCTCTTGTCTGTAATCCAGCACTTTGGGAGGCTGAGGCAGAAGGATCACTTGGGCCCAGGCATTGGAGACCAGCCTGGGCAACATAGTGAGACTTTGTATCTATAAAAATAAACAAAATTAGCTGGGTATGGTGGTATGCCTGTAGTCCCAGCTACTCCAGAGGCTGAGGTGGGAGGATCACTAGACCCTGGGAGGTTGAAGCTATAGAGGGCTATAATCATCCCACTGCACTGCAGCCTGGGTGACAGAGCAAGAGCCTGTCTCAAAAACAAACAAACAAAAAACAAAGATGCACGTGATCTCTTGTGAAATGTAAAAAAGTTGAACTCCTAGAAGCAGAGTAGAATGGTGGTTTTGAGAGGCTCGGGAGAGGACATGGGGGGAAGTGTATAAAGTTTTAGTTAGATGAGAGGAATAAGTTCTGGTGATCTATTACACAGCATGGTGACCATAGTTAATGTATTGTAGATTTTGAAATTGCTAATAACATTTTAAATGCTCTCACCAGCAAAAAATAATAAATACGTAAGGTGATGGTTACATTAATTATTTTTTTTAATCCCAAAGATCCATGATTGAGGAATGTTTCTAATTTCCCAATTGTTTTGTAGTGATTGTAAACCTTGGAGGTGGAGACTAATCTTGCTGATGTTTTCATCAAACAGTGGTTTATTGATTTTGTTTTGTTGTTTCCGAATTATCTTAGGAGCAAAGATTGCTATTTTTATTTTAAATAAAAACACCATGAACAATTCAAAATGGTGGATACTAAAAAATAAAATAGCATTCAGGAAAATTTGTGCTCAAAAATTAAAAAATAAATAAAATAAAATAGCTTTTGCCTTTTAGTGTCCTTTTACTTATATTTTATCAGTGTACCTGATCAGGTAATTAACTTTAAATGAAATGACTGAGGGGAGGGGGCGGAAAAAAAAAGGAAAGAAAAAATGACCAAACTACTGTATGAGAAATTAATAAAAACTAGGAGGTGCTTCAGATTCTGACAGCCTGAGACATGCAAAGGAAGAGATAGCTTGTTTCAGAATGGTGTGCTCTGCTACCCCAAGCCTTGATAACTTTTTTATTTATTTATTTATTTATTTTTAAAAATTTTTTTGAGAGGGAGTCTCACTCTCGTCATGTAGGTTGGAGTGCAGTAGTGTGATCAGGGCTCACTGCAACCTCCACCTTCTGGGTTCAAGTGATTCTCCCTCTTCAGCCTCCTGAGTAGTTGGGATTACAGGCGTGCACCACTACACCCGGCTAATTTTTGTATTTTTAGTAGAGACAGGGTTTCTCCTTGTTGGCCAGGCTAGTCTTGAACTCCTGACCTCAGGTGATCCACCTGCCTTGGCCTCCCAAAATGCTAGGATTACAGGCGTGAGCCACCGCACCCAGACTTGATAACTTTAACGATTTTCTCTCTGGAGCTAGGGTATAGTCAAGGTATTTGGTTCTATAGTGCTTATTTTGTGGAGTATATGCTGAATATAAATTAAAAATAAATAGAAGAAGAAAAAGGAATCATAAGTAATAACTATGAATAAACTTGAAACCTAGAATTACTTCTAATTCAGTCAGTTCACTCAGTAGCAATCAAGAGTATACAAAAATAGCGAAGAACAAACACAAACTCCTTCATAATTGTCTATTAAATGCAAATTAATGGAATT